AGAATCACTTGATCCTGAGAGGTGGAGGTTGCAGTGAGCTGAGATGGCACCGTTGCACTCCAGCCTGTGTGACAGACTGAGACTCCGTCTAAAAAAAAAAAAAAAAAAAAACAACAACAAAAATAAAAACAAATTCATATGTTGAAATCCTAACCCCCAAGGTGATGATATTAGGAAGTGGGGTCTTTGGAGGTGATTAGGTCATGAAGGAGAGACCTCATGAATGGAATCAATCCCTTTATAAAAGCACTTGCCCCTTCCACCTTGTCAGGACACAGTGAGAAGGTACTGTCTGTGAGTCAGGAAGAGAGCCCTTGCCAGACACCAAATCCACTGGTGCCTTGGTCTTGAACTTTCTAGCCTCAAGAACCATGGGAAATAAATTGTCATTGTTTAGAGGTCACCTGGTTTGTAATATTTGGTTGTAACAGCCAAAATAGACAAGACACAATTCTTCCCCAGATATGGTCCCTTGTCAAGGTTTCTTGCCTCCATGGATAGCACCCCCATGCACCTGTTGCACAAGTCATAGTTTCAGAGTCATACTGGACATCATCCATCCATCCTGTGTTCAAGTACACTTGACTTCCATCCTAAGTATCTCTCAAATCCATTTGTCTCACTTTAGCTCCACTACCAGATCCTGGTCTATGTAGCTATCATCTTCAACCTCCATGTCCTTAATTGCCAAAAGCACCCTCTCCGCCTGCCTGCTCCTTAGAGCACCTCCCCAATCCAGTCTCCACAAGTGACCATTGTGGTCTTTAAAAACTATAAACTTGTCTCAGAAAGCCCTCAGCCATACACATGTAACATATATTCACATGTGCCCACATACATAAAATCATGTTTCCTGGTGTAATTTCCAAAAGTCTGGTATTACTTTTCATAAGCTCACCTTAGGTACTAATTGCATGGTTTAGAGTGATTCTCCCTCTCTAGATTATCTTTTCTCCCTCACTAGTTTATACCCATCACACAGACTGTGATTAAGTAAATTAAAAGGTATGTTCCTTCAGGCACGATGGCTTAAGAATTATGATGTAATTTTTAAGTTTAACTTCTGTTTCGATCTGCTGACTGGACCATGGTTTTTGTTCTAAGTTGAAAGCTTCCTTGGAGTAAACACTCTGATGGTAGCAATACTTCCCCACTTCCAGATCAGAAAGGTTCCAAGGGGTGCCTTAACCCTGACATTGTTGTGGTCTGCACTGGAGGGTGTCTGCTGCATCTGGCCTGCTCACCTGGTAGAGTAATTAGGGAGGCGTTTGCATGGCTTGCTCTTTGTTAAATCATTCAGTAGAAGTGGCAGCATCTAGAACTGTACCATGGAATATTTAGACGGCAGGTCTTTGGGCCAGAACTTTGATATGTAAATGATTTCCAATCATTTGCTCTCCCAAGACCTGTTGGTTGTCTTGACTCAGATCCAGGATGCAGAAACCAAAATGAGAAGCCCCGAATGTTCTGCTTGGGGATTCTCATGTGAGTCATCATCAGAGTTCTGGAAAAGAAATTATATTTGTTTCTCTTTCTAGAAAGCCAAGGAGCATCCCAATTTTAAAATTTTCTTTCTTTTTTTTGATTTTCACATTTTTTCCCCTAAATCTTGCCCACACAGAGTTGGGGTCGAAGCTGTGAGGCCTGGCTGGGGTGGGAGCCCTGCTGACCCCTAATTCACATTTTCCTATGTATTCACCCCTCACCTGAAAGAGCTCAATTCTCAAGGAAGTTTTGTTCCTGTTAACTTGCTCTCACCCAACTTCTGGGCAGAATTTATTTTGTGTATGCTCACATAATCATCGGGGAGAGTAGTTCTTCACTCCTCAGGACTAGGAACAAAACCTAAACAGGGCTTAGCATGACATCGAACTGGGGTTACGAGATACTGACTTGCAAGATGCGGGATGCCACTCCCCAGATCATGTGTCTTCGGGCTGAAACTAGTCTGTGTGTCTGGAACCTACTCTGACGAGGCCACTGCATCTGTTGCTTGGGCATTTCCCAAGGCCTGTGGATTGAGCCATCTCAGGAGTGTGAAGAGGGTGCAGCAATTCATGAGGAATTGGTTGGTGATTGAATGGTGAGGAGTTAGAAGTAGTGGTCCTGGATGCAGGTGCCCTATCTGTTTCTTGGTGGCAAGGTGACCCCGGGGAAGAAACTCTTACTGGACCCTTATGCTTTCATCTTTAGAGCAGGATAAAGATACCTACTTACAGATTTACAGTGAAGCAGCAGCAGGGATGATGTGAAGCCCTACAATTATTAATACTGGGGCATATTTACTGTGAGGAGGTGGGAGATGCCGGAAGAAAAGGGGGTCATTAATGAGCAATCCTGGAGTGGGGAGGGCAAGGATGTGGACGAGGACTGGTGGAATCCTCCAAACTCTGCCAGTGGGATTGAAGATGCCAGCTCTTCATGGGGCTGAGAGATCCTCAAGGCAATGTGTCTCTTTCTCCGTCTTTACAGACAAAGAATGTGAAGCCAATAGGGATAAAATGAGTAATCCAAGGTCACAAAGCGAGAGAGCTGTTCTAGGACAAGAACTTGGTGCTCATGTCAGGCTCTCTCTGCCACATCTTGAGAATACGTGGATCCTTTGTGAGTAAATGCTTTAGTGTGATGAAGGAACTAGAAGAGACGTAGTGAAATGCTTTTATGCTTTGTATTTGCACTTTTGATTATCTCATTAATTCTCTGTGACAGGTTTTGCTAGCCATGCATTTTGTCTTGGTGTTTCATTTTTAAAGGCTATTATTATTTCCGTTATTAATCCTAATAGTGGTGGTTATTTCTAGAGAGTCAGGAATTTTAGTCTCAGTGTTTTAACATCTTCATCTCTAATACTTAGAGAAAGTCTTTGACCTAAAATTTATCATTGTAATTGATATGAAATAATAACGTGATGCCCAAGTCCCAGAATGCTTCCGGGAAGTGACAGCATCTGTGGAAATGTTCAACGGGATGAATGCTGGGAGGATACACGAGCCCGTGTGTGCATGGAGTTGTACTATGTGTGTATAAACTTGCACCATGAGGATCAGGAAGCCTACATTTGGGGAGAGGAGGAAAAAAAGGGAAGAGGAGACAATGGGGCAAAATTGGTTCAATGGTAAGATATCCTCAGGGCTAACCTAACGCTTTTTTACAAAATCTGTGTAAGTAATTAAATGGATTGAAATAAATGAACTTTTGTTGTGTCAGGGAGGACAAAAACTGTTTCCTCTACCCTTTTAGGTTCTGTAACCAGGATCTTGAAAATTAAAGAATAAAAGACAAATTAACCGGAGGAAAAAAGCTTATTTTATATGCACATAGATGGGCTCACAGAAATGAAATGGAAACTCAAAGAGGCATTCTCAGAGGGTTATACACAATTTTAACAAAGAGTAATGCGTTTGTGGAAAAATCACATAATAAATGAAAAAGGTTTTGAGCTTCCAGGTGTGGTGAATGGTTGGAGGGTATTAGGGAATTAATGAAAGATAAGCATTATTTTTTATAAGATGTGTTATGTAGACTCCTCTTGGTGTTGTTGCTGTACTGACAATAGCCTAGAGTTATCTCTCATCAAGAGTCATTCTGTCCTTCCAGGGGAGAAGGGTACCTTCACAAAGGGAAATATATGTCCTGACTTTAGGCAAATGAGAGAAGGTGGTGTTTTTCAGTCCAGAAGGCAGTCTTTAGAGATTTCTAGATGTTAGGTTTGAAGCACATGTAGATGTGGAGGGAGGGAGGCAGTGCACATTTCCTGATTTGCAGATTAAATGACTTGAAATAGTATATACATTAGTGTTCCAGTCATAGAATATCACTAAAGCATCTAGCTTCAGCTTGCAGGGCTTCTTCACATAGTCTCAATAAGGATCGGGGCAGTCAGGTTTTAGTTCTCAGTGGTGCCAAGTGAGGAAGATGAGAGAAAAATTAGAAATGTTAATTACTGACAAAATGCACAGAAAGGCAAGATTCACTTTACAGAGTTAAAAATAGTTCAAAGACAGTGAACACTTACAAGGGTGGATAATAGTTTTCCATTTAAATATAAATTTCTCTCTGCAGTCATCTGCATTCCTGTCAAAAAGAATCAAAATAAGACTATTTTTGTTTGCAAAATAAGTCTAGTCTCATTAAACGTGGCCTGATTATTTACATAAGTGCAACAAGAATGGTAATGGACCATATAGGCTCTTTTTAAAGTTTGCATTTATGGAACTTTTAATGACTCTCAGATTGGACTTTTAACAACTTCTTAAGACTAGGAAGCCAAGCCAAGAACTCATCATCAGATTTTTCCTGCAATATTTATAGATTTGGGTGAATTTTCCTCTTCTCAAAATCTCTAAAGTATTCTAAAATTCCTGGAGCTGTCAGCAAGTGACTTTCTTTACTCATCTGTAAATCTGGGAACCTGTAGGCCAGGTAGCCGGCCAGTATCTCAAGAGGGCTTTGTAAGTATAAAGTTAAACACAGGCCCTTAAAACTATCAAGCCATATGTAATTCTATGTACATCAGTTTCAAATATTTCACTTCAAGCCTAGGTAATATAATCAATGTGTCGTTTTACATCTGTTTCCTTTTACAAGGAGAATAGATTCATCAGTAGGAAGAAAAAGATAAATGCTTCATTACTTAAATTAGTCTGTGGTGGGTTTCCAACAACAACAAAATAAATAATGGTTATAGTAAAAAAAGGTTCATTACTGTTTATGAAAGTATAATCTATTAAATGACTGCAAGTCATAGATAGCTTAAGAGAAAAGAGAAAAAGGGGTTTCTTAAATATGGAAAACAAAATGTTAAAAGAATAACCAGGGTTTTAGACAAAAAGCCATGATAATCATTCACTTCAGTTAATTCAGTCCCATGTAATTAATTCTTACTCTGATTGATCTTGGGTTAGTGGTTTGATTAATCTATTAACTTCTTCACGAACTGATGTAAATCCTTCTTTGTTTCTTTCTTTTCTTTCTCTCTTTTTTTTTTTTCCAAATGAAGCACCTTGCCTTGACCTGTAGCTGATGGCAGTACGTTTCCATAAAGCATCAGAGTAAGAAACAACAACTGTCTGTGAATGACAAAGGACTGAAAAATACCTGTTAAATATTTGATGAATGTTTGTTTTAACATACTTGGCAAAGGAATTTGATTATTTCTGTGGCGTGCAACATTTTAAGGTAACTTAAATTATGACTGATAATGTTGTACCAGGATATATTATGGTCAGCAAAGACAATGAAAAATTTCTAGAAATTTCATAGAATGTCTGAAACACTAATATTAATATACTTACACAAATACAACACAAGAAGGCTAAACATCACTTCATAATTATTTCTTATTTGACAATGCCTCTTAGATAGTTTAAAGTATCAAATAAACCTAATTAGTTTAACACCTCCCTTTTTATAAAGTGAGAGAATAAATCCCTTGAGTTTTGCGGAAGTCCTCTGGGAAATTCCAAAGTCAACTTGAGGTTAAAAAAAAAAAAAAAAAGGTTTTACTTAGCATTTGATTTTGGGAAAGATGTCAAAATATCAAAATGTTGAACGCTTGATTCAATAGGATTAGAGATCAGCATGAAACAATACTTAGTTATCTGTTCTGTCAGAGACAATAGAAGCTCTCCAGGGCAAATACAGGTTACATGATTATTAAACAAACTCCTTACCGCTTTCAATATTGAGAGGGCTTGGTTTTCTTAAATAATCAAAGACCTGAAAAAAGGAACACAAAGTAAAGAAAATTATTTTAATAAGACACAAAATTCTTATTTCCTAAGTAAATTACTCAAGTAAAGAAAAGCCTTTACAATCCCTTATTAAGAATAGACCAGTAATCTAAGAAAACTTTACATTTTTAGCAGAAAAAAATCAAAGTCTAGTTTTTCATTTGTACACTATTTATATTAAAACCCATTCAAACATCTTATAATAAATTTAATTTAATTTTAGCTTTCTTGACCATATGAGACATGAGACAAGGTTCTCTTTCTTGTTCTGCTTTCCCCAGGCACTTTAACACTTTCTATATTCTTTCAGACTTTCATCATTTAATTTCTCCTCTTTTAATCTGAAACAACCTATATACAACATTATACTACTTTAGGAAAACACATTCCCTTCACAGAAACACATGCTTCATATCTTTTACATTTTCTTATCAAGTTTCCCTGCATACTTTGTGCATATAACTCTTTCTTTTTTACCTTTATTATTCCTGGTAGTTAATTTAGGTAAATTGATCGTAATTCCTAACCCTTAGTAATAGTTTCCAGTGAAAATGAAGTTAGCAGTTGTGAACTGTCATATATTAACATTTTGTAGTATATTAGCAAATTTATGAACATACCACTTTACAGTTTTGTAGAGGCATATGCTTTCTTATCGTACAGTTGCTCCAGATTGCAAAAAGAACATGTTTATTAACAGATGAAAGGATCTTTAGTCTCTTTGTAAAAATAAGAGGCCAAAATTCGACAAAACTTACGTTCAGCAATGAATGCTTCAGTATTTTAACTTCTTTAGGAATGATCTAGATATTCAATGACTATCATTTAATGTAACTTAGTATAACTTTAAAGTTTCAAGTTATCAAAAAATTTCTAAAAGTATTTTTAAGCAGACCTATTATAAAACATAATTATTGTTGTAAATTTTATTTGTAAACTTGTTTCCCACTCACAGCTATTTAATTCGCTTGTTCCTAATTATACTTGAATTGCTCATTAAAATTTCATGAGACATTTTATAAAGATAACCTTCTTCTAAAGTTATTTCCTGGTTAACTATTTTAATAGCACTCATATGTAATAAAGAGGCATAAATCACAGCACAAAGAACCAAAAGTTAAATATATGCACCACCCTTTTTACTGCCATCTTTGACATATATATATATGTATAATGCATTATATTTTTATTGTGTATTTTGTTTTTAGGTTTATAATTTTAAGTATATAATCTTCAAGTTAAGAAATATGTATTTGACTAGTACATCCAGGTAGAATAAATCTTGTTGGCTTACTAAAAACAGTATGTTTTCAGAGTTGCCAGCATTAAATATGACATAGACACATTAGTCTCATTTACCAAAGATTATTCCAGATCATGTGAACTTGAATATTATTTGGGTTAGTTTACCTATTTCTAAGTTTTGGGAATACTTTAATCTATATAAGTGCATATGTTTTTTTACATCAATTAAAGTAGAAAGGAATTTTTATTTGACAATACCATCTGGAGGTAGAAAATACCACATATACAGAACATGCACACATAGGCAGACATAAAAATACAGATAGATGCAAAGAGATATCATATCTTACATTCTAAAAATTTAGTCGTGAGTCAGGCAAACATAGTAATACAAAATTTACTATTTAATAATTATTTTAAATAATGGGATCTGAATTATGTTTCGGGAAGATGGAACAAGTTAAGGTTACCTTCTTAGTGAGGGCTAAAACCTTTCACTACTCTTTGTAGAGAAGGTTTTTAAGATTTTCATTTGCCCTGTTATATAATCTCATGGAGGCTGTGGTCAAAGGAGAGAAAAAAAGCATGTAAGCTTTCTCTACAAAGGAATTTTGGGGCATATTTGCCTGTTATCAGAGGTGTAGTGTAATTACTACTTAGTTTTTTTTTTTTTTTTTTCTTTCTTATGTATAGGGCAGTCCAGTGAATTCTTGGTAATGAGCTTTTAGCACAAAGGACTTTGCATGGGAAGACCCTGAGCTGCTGGAGTTTGATTAGAGAGTTTTGCTGCCATTCTTCGGGCCTTTGGCAAAGCTGTTTTCTGGTTATCAGTATTTACATAGGTAAGTTGTATGCTCTGCACTGACCCGAGTGCCTTTTCAATTCTTAATTTTGTTCCAAGTCTGACTTCAATCTCCCAATCTTGTCAAAAGATTTTTTGAGCCAGTCATAACATTATCCTGTCCTTTTTTTTACTTTTAATTTGATCCTGTCACAAGTACAATGCCTAGAGCAGTGCATTTGCTCTAGGTGAGAGCTCTTCAAAAACCCCTTTAGATATACAAGTCTAAATCTTCAAAGGTATACATATTCTAGTGCAACTCTAAACCAATGAGTTTTTTAATCAAAAAAAATTTTTTTTAGTAGTGGTACTATATTGTATTCAGATTGTCTTCTTTTAAAAATAATTTTAACTTTTATTTTAGATTTGGGGGGTGTATGTGCAGGTTTGTTACGTGATGCTGTAGTTTGAGGTAAGATTGAGCCCATTACCCAGGTAGTGAGCTTAGTACCCAATAGGTAATATTTACAACCCTTGTCTCCCTCTGTCTCCTTCTAGTAGTCCCCACTGTCTGTTGTTGTCATCTTTATGTCCACGAGTACATAATGTTTGGCTCTCACCTATAAGTGAGAACAAAAACGAGACTTTCTGTTCTTGTATTAGTTCACTTAGAATCATGGCCTTCAGATGCATTCATGTTGCTGCAAAGGACATAATTCATTTTATGGCTGTGTAGTATTCCGTGGTTTATATGTACCACATTTTCTTTATCCAATCCACCGTGGATGTGCATCTACATTGATTGCATGTATTTACTATTGTGAATAGTACTGCAATGAACATACACACACATGTATCCTCTTGGTAGAACAATTTATTTTCTTTTGGATATGTACCCAGTCATGGGATTGCTGGATCAAATAGTAGCTCTGTTTTAAGTACTTGAGAAATCCCAATAAACCTTTTTATGACTTAAATCCAATATGCCTTTTATGACTTAACCATGGACATAAGAGGCATCTCCAAACAGGGTGCAAAAGACATAGCCCATATGACCCAAAGTTACTCCCAAAGGTAGTCAAAGAAAGCAAAGATTCTCATTGCGACAGGCAGTAAGAATGCTATTTTTGAAAACTTGCGTCTCTGGTCTCCCACAAAAGTCAGATGCCTCCAATTACAAATCTAATAATCTGTGATACTAGGTAGACAATACTGAAAACTTTCTAAGTACTACAAGGCAATGAAGGGAGAGATAATAAGGGATCCTATGGGCTGAAACATTTTATTTAGACAAATTCCCTCAAGAGTCTACATGATTGGCAAATGAGTGTCTTAGTTCCCCAATCTGGTGCCTGGCTACCTGCAGACACAGGCCTGACCCCCGTAACCCCTTCCAGGCCGAAAAACCAGAGAGAAAGCACTGTTCCTGGATGTAGGCCAAACACTGAAAGTACAAAATAAGACAAGAGGAGGATTTTGTCCTATGATTCTCCTCCTTATGATAAATGACATGAAAGACAGAGACAGAGGAAAACAATGGATACTCCTAAAAGGGAAAAGAATCAATAGCCAATGCACACTTAAAACCAAATTTATGAGAGTCACAATCAAAGAAACAAATTCACTAATCCAAAAACAGATTATCAAGATAAAAAGATTTGTTTCTTATGCATATGGGGCGGGGGTGCTCACAGAAACAAAATGTAAGCCACGCAGAGGCGGGCAGATCTGGAATCTTATATACCATTTTAACAAAAGGGGAGGAACTACAAGACAAAAGGTGGAGGAACTACAAGATAATAGGTGGAGGAACTACAAGACAAAGGAGAGCGTTTTGAGCCTCTAGGAGTGGTAGATTGTGGGAAGGTAAATATATGGGGGAACTAATGGACAGTACGTGTTACTTTAGGGAAGTTTGTTATGTACATTCTGCTCTGAGCCATCTCTGGGCTGCTGAGAGTCTAACGTCATCTCTGGTGATTAAGAGTCATTCTATCCCTCCTGGTATGAGACAGAGGAGAGGATACCTTTGCAGAAGGACATCTATACTCTGCTTTTAGGCAAATGGGGGAGAATAGAGAACTTTATCTGCAGGCTGCTGTTTCTCAATTGCCTTCAGCTCAAAACCATCCTTATGCTAAATTGGCATGTTTTGGGGGTATGGTTCTTTGAAAACCAGTCACTGTAGCTGGAAATCAGACTTTAAAAACACCGGGTATCTCCTAAAACCAAGCAGTCTTTGTTCTCATAAAAATGCATGCCTCCCACACCCCATGACTCAAGCCAAAACCGGGATGAAAGTTTTAAAGTAGTAAACACATGATGACGGTTCTAAGTCCTTTCTGATTTTCCGGAATCCGGCATCAGTTTCTATGGTGACATTTAAGAATGTTACTTATATGAGTGTCAAGCCCTTGTTTTGTAAATTGTATTATGGCCTTTCCCACCCATACATTTCACTTTTTAAAATAAAAGTAAACAAGTTTACTCTTATAAAATACAAAATTAATTATCATTATTTTTAAACATCCTTATATCTTCAAGGTACAGTGTAACTACTCTATGCATATACATTTATTATATTTGATCATTTGTGTACATTTTTATAACAGATATTCTCAAAAAGGAAACACAATGGTACATTACAACAATACTTAATCTATTTATAAAGTATTGAGAAATATAATACCCTATACTCTTACAAGGTTTTATAAAGCAATTTAATTCTAAATTAGAAGGGGAAAGCTTTTTATTAGAAAGCACCCATTTTTGTGATAGGCACAATTCTAAAGCATGTTATGCCTTTAATTTCTAGAAGAACTTAATGAAGTCAGTTCCATTCAATCTATGTACTCTATTTAATTTTAGTTAAGAAAATAAGAGGTCCCATGCCCAGTCATTGCCCAGGCCACACAGGGAAACATGGCTAGGAACTAGAATTCAGTGTATCCCATATCTCTTGACTTCATGTTCTTTCTACCACATTTGTCTGCCTCTATATTGCCCTAGAGTTATGCCCAGCTAAATCAAGAGAGAATTTACAACTAGATTATTAGATGCATAATCTACTTGGTCAGTTAAATGGATTTTATATGTGCTATTTACTTAGGTAATGTTTCCTCATTTTGATAACACAGAAAGATATTCTGGATTATATAGATAAAATATCTATATTCAGTATAGCCTTGCAATTTTAAAGGCCAAATTTTTGCTTCTGTTTAAGATTACTTTGTTGCCAGGTAGTATTCACTTAATTAGAATCAACCACTTAAGAAGAGAAGGGGTGGAATCATAGATGCTCTTCCAAGTGCATTTTAAATAAGGGTGGGATTATATTCAGATTAAAAAAAACCTCAATTTTTAAATAGCAAGATCAAAATTACATTTGTTTGGCTGGTTTTTTATTTTGTAAATTGATGAAGTTGGGTAGGAGGATATGAGCTATAAGCATGCATTGTTTTTAGGGGTTTGTTTGTTCTACTTTTTTAAAATAAATGATTGCAGATTTACTATATATGTCCATTCTCATGCTTCTAATAAAGACTTACCCGAGACTGGGTAATTTATAAAGAAAAGAGGTTTAATTGATTCACAGTTCCACATGGCTGGGGAGGCCTCAGATCACGGTGGAAGTGAAGGAGGAGCAAAGTCACGTTTCACATGGCAGCAGGCAAGAAAGCATGTGCAGGGGAACTCCCCTTTATAAATCCATCAGATCTCATGAGATGTATTCACTATAACGAGAACAGCACATGAAAGACCAGCCTCCATAATTCAATTACCACCCACATGTGGGAATTGTGGGAGCTACAATTCAAGATGAGATTTGAGTGGGGAAACAGCCAAACCATATCACTAACTTCATGGAAAGTGTCCAAGATAGTACAAAGGGATCACAGGTACCCTTCACCCAGTTCCCCCCATTGATGACATCTTACATAACTAGATTACAGTATCAAAACCAGTAGATGACATTGGAGCAATCCATAGAGTTTTTCAGATTTCACCAGTTTTGTGTGCACTCATGTCTGTGTGCACTGATAGTTCTATAAAGTTTCATCACACATGTAGATTTATGTAACCACCGCTACCATCAAGGTACAGAACTGTCGAAGATCTCCTGCATGCCATCTTGGTGAATGTTCCATGGGTGCTTAAAAAGGATGCATATTCTACCATTTGTTGGGTGTAGTGTTCTATAAATATCAATTAGATTCTGTGGGTTGACATTGCTGTTAAGTTAAAATTATCCAATCTAAAATTCCAATAATGCAGAAACTGAAACATTTTGGTCTAATATATCAGTTGGCTTTCTCTGGTTAATAAAGCAGGAAGAATCTGTGGCTTTTAACAAGAACAATTTGTTTCTTGTGCATCTGGGGGCTTCAGTTCTTCTAAATTTGTCTTGGCTGGGCTCACCCATAGCTCTGGCAGTCAACTGAGGGTTGGCTGAGCTAGGCTGAATTCAGCTTGGACTGGCTCTGCTGCACGTGTCTCTCATCCTATTCCTGAAACCAGTGGGCCACCATGGGTATATGCTGCTCCTGGTGATTGCCGAACAGAATCAGGAACTCTCTGCTGGGGAAAGTGTTTTCAGCAGGTTGCTTTTCCGTAGATTCAAAAGAGTGTCATTCTTCTTTCAACTGCAGTATCTTTTTGTCATAATTTTTCATCATTACAGGAAAGGCTCTGGGTTTATTTAGTACTGGATTATAGCCCCATGGGAGCTGAGAGGTGGGCCAGCCCTATTTTTGGACTGGTGAAGGTGTCCACTCAGAGCCTATCTGTGCCTTCCCTCTGCCTGATGGGGCAGGAAAAATTGAGCCAGGATGCTAAAATTTCCCAGTGCCTCAGTAGGATCCAATTCTTCCTAGGTCATAGATATAAGAGGGTATGCTTGTTGGCCCCCTCTCCTGCCTCATCCTCCAATACCTTCATGAATAGCCTAATTTATTAATAGTCTAAAGCTTCATTCTCACCCTCTTTGAAGTTCTTCAAATTGGGTCCACATGCACTTTATCTGGCAGAGATTCTTTACTGTTCCTGGCGTGTGAGAGGCTTGTTCCAAGCATTGTTTTAAGATTTTCTATATTGTGTATTCTGTTGTTCATCTCAATGGCAGTCTCAGAAGAGGGTAAGTAGAGAAACACATGTTACTACTTCTATCTTGCCAGGAATTCTTGACCTTTTCAGTAGAAAGCATCGTGGGAAAACATACAGAGTGGAACACAGGTAACATGCTCAAAAGAGTGATGAATAATTCCCAGAATTCTGTCAAAGTTCTCCTGTGATTTGCACAGGTCTGTTCTACAACCTGGAGAAGACTCTCCCTCTCAGGTCCCCCTTGTCTTCTACAGCAGGTGAGTTGTTGCAGCATCCATGTACATCTAGCTCACCATGCTCTGGCTGTAGTGTTTATTAGCCTCGTTATGTTTGTACCAACCCTACACTCCCTGAAGATTCAATTCCAGGGGAAGGTTCTGTATGAAGTTGTCTACCTCTCCTCCCACTGACAAGAATAAAATCCAGGGAGATGGCTTGGAAAAGTCTGTTCCCTGCTACCAATAATATCTGGGTATTCCTTCATTCTTCCCTTTTAAGATCGGGATGTGAAAAGCTCTCACTTTTTTCCCCACAAGATAGAACCAGATGACAGATACTTGAGGGCCCAGTTGACCATTTTGGAACAGCTTTTGGCATTCCTATCATGCAGAAATTGGACTTCTAACCCAAAGACAAAACAATACTCTGCCTAAGAGATATAAATAAGTAATGTTTCATGTGTTTATTGCCAACATTTCAAGTACTTAGGCAGAATTAGGCATTTTCCTTTGATTTTTACTTTTTATTTTTGTTTGTTTGTTTGTTTTTTTGAGACAGAGTCTTGCTCTGTCACCAAGGCTGGAGTGCAGTGGTGCAATCTCGGCTCACTGCAAGCTTCGCCTCCCGGGTTCATGTCATTCTCCTGCCTCAGCCTCCTGAGTAGCTGGGACTACAGGCGCCCATCACTACGCCCAGCTAATTTTTTGTATTTTTTTTAGTAGAGACGGGATTTCCCCATGTTGGCCAGGATAGTCTCCATCTCCTGACCTCATGATCCACCTGCCTCGGCCTCCCAAAGTGCTGGGATAACAGGCGTAAGCCACCGTGCCCAGTCTCTTTTGTTCTTTTTGTACCTGTCAGTTTTTTTTCTATTCATTGCAGATAATATTGTTGGCTTGTTAATTCGATCATTATTTTCAGAGTTGTTTAAATGAAGAGGAAACCTTGTATTATAAGGCAAATCCCGATATATATAATATCAGCATAAAAGTACGTTTGTAATCTGTCAAATTCAGTGCTTTTTAACGTGTTTTCTTCATTATATACATCTTATATACATACATAAATACATACATAGATATACATAAATACATAAATATATGCGTATTTCCCTGAATAGACATAAAAGCATATCTTCAGGATATATTCTAGAATGAGAGAAAAATTAAGGGCAGAAGATACCTTAGCATTCATGTGAGGGAAAAACAGAGGTCCCCAGAAATGAATTGTTTTTTCCAGGGTCATGATGACTCATGGCAGACCCAAAATTAGCAGCCTGGCCTCCTTGTGTCTATTCCATGTAGGATGCAGCACAGCTCTCCTGGGAGATGTGCAAATTGGTACCACCACTTTGAAAAATGCTTTGGCAGTCTCTGATAAAGAGGAATGCGTGCACACCCTCTGAGTCAGTTATTTTAATTCACATGTGTAATCAGCAGGTTTGCAAATCTGTATTCACCAAAAGACATTACAAGACCAGCTATGGTACACTAGCTCTCAGCTGCAAAGGAAGCAATATCTGTCAACATTTAATGGATGAATATATTTTGTTATATTCATTCAATGGAAAATAATAAACCTCTGCTTCACATGATAACTTGTATGATTATCACAAATGTAATGTTCAGTGACAGAACCAAGCTGTATGATTCTATTTATTCAAGGCTCAAAAAGTCAGAAATGACTGTGTCAAAAAGTCAGTGACTCTGAAAAGTGTTGGCTTCTGAGGAGTCTATAAGGGGTGGAGGTAATGCTAACGTTCTGTGTCCTAATCTGTCTGTGGAGAGCTGCTCACTTACAAGCTGTGCACTTTTTGAGTGGATATTATACTGCACATACATGTTTACAAATATAAATCAACACAAAGTATTCACTCTGAGGCTTTTGTCAACACTACCTCCCTTTCCATCTACAATGTTCCCATCTGTAAAATGGAACATATCAATGAGATGCACTCCCAAGACCTGTCCTGCTGGAACTTCCCCTGGTTCTCTGCTCACAGTCTTGTTGCAGCACTTGGTGAGCTGGGTGAGTGCCCAGGAGTTGAGGGTTAGAAGAGGTGAAGGGACACACCTGGCAGCAGGTGAGCTGCCCTCAGTTTAGTGCTTGAATCTCTTCCCAGAGGTGGCCATTGGCTGGTGTTGGGAATTGCTGTGGAGTGGGCAGGCACTTCTTTATTTTGGAGAGAAGTCCGTTTCGTTTCATTCCAGAACTGTTCTAGTTGTTGAAAATTCATCATTTATCAACTTGGAATCTTTCATCCCCCTCACCTGCTCTCTGAATTTATTACATCTGATTTCTGCCCTGCAGCGAAACAAAACCTGCTGTCTGCAGCCTGGCCAGGGTTGGACACAGGCAGCAGGTTTCCTGCCATGTCCTCTGAAGGGAAGGTGCTAGGATGGGTCAGTGGGACACTGACCTGCACGTTTTCTCCCAGGCTGCATCCCTCGTCCTCATGCACTAGGTGCTGTCCCACCGTGGGGTGGGTGCCCATGTTTCCAGAACATTTGGACTGTCTTCCTCCACCTGGACAGCACTGTCAGACATCTGCCTACAGACACCCTCGCATTTCTCATGGTGCAGCGGAAGCTTCCCTCTGCCCCTTCCTGAAGTCACTTCACTCTCCCATATCTGGCCACCCATCTCATCTTCATCAAATCCACATGTGGAATGTAAACACAGGCCTGGGGTATGAGGATGGTGAGGAAAGCTGTTATCTTGTGCCATGGATGGTATGGCTGTGCATACACGTTTGGATGTGCATATGTATGTGTGTATATATGTGCATATGTGTGCATGTGAGTGTGCATGAGTGTGTGTACTTTTGTGTGTGACATGTGTATGTGTGCACGTTTGTGTATGTGTGCACGTTAGTGTATGTGCATGTGCTTAAATGAAGCCAATGAGGCACTATTCATTTGTGTATCATCTTCCCTGGCATGTGCCCAGCACAGTACCTGACCCAGAGTTAAGCAGTAGTAAAGATCTGTATGATTAAATCTAATACTGCACAGTGTGATTCATGTGGCCTGTGTCTCCCTATACTGGATTACAGAATCCATTAATTTTCATAGAAAAATTTACTGAGGGAGAAGAGCTGGTGTGTCTTGGCCCAGACTTCCCTCCCACTGTGAACTGTGGATTTCTCTCTTCTCTCCCAGCCTTGGTTACTCCCGCTGTCCTCAATGAGACTGTTGCCATGCTTCCCTTTAATTCCATGCACTCAGGGGCTAAACACAAACTCTGGTACTATGATTGGAATCTTATCAAGATGTTGGTTACTATGGTTATAAAAAGTAATATCTTAACGAAAATAAAAACAGAGAAGACAGAGCATGTAGTGCCTAGCTTTCTCTGGTTATATTTTTAGTCCAAAAGTTAGATGTCCTGGCTCTTGAGTTGGTTTCATGTGGCTGTAAGGAGAGGGTCAGTTAGGTTGTGATGGCTTCAGCCACAGAGACAGGTGCACATTTTGGGAATTATGTGGTCAGCCAGAACCACCTTCATAGAGCCTGGGAGGCTTTGTGTCTGAGCACCTTTTCCTGTTTACATCTCAGATGGGAATCTGAGTGAAGGGTTTGTTTTCTTCCTTTAATAACACATTATCAACTAGAAGGTTGTGCTATTAAAAATACTGCTTTAAAAAAATAACACCTTTTAATTCTCCAAGGGTCCCTTCTGTGATGATTCTGTGTTCCTATGCAGTGGCCTGTTTAGGCTAGGAAAGCATGACCTGGCATTCAGGGGTCTGAGGAGTATTGACCACCTCTGGACTTGGAGCTTTCCTGAGGATCTGGTGCTACCGCTCCTCGAAAGATCACTGTGAGTAGATTTAGTGTTTTGATAACACAATTTCTTTTAATTTAAAGAAGGCTTGCACCAAACCAGATTTTGGATCAGGAAATCTGATAGTTTAATTTATCCTGTGGAACATAGTTGTATTAGGCTGTTCTTGCTTTGCTCTGGAGAAATATCTGAGACTAAATCATTGATAAGAAGAGAGGTTTAATTGGCTTATGGTTCTTCAGGCTGTATAGGAAGCATAATGCCAGCATCTGCTGCTGGGGAGGCCTCAGGGAGCTTACAATTACCATGGAAGGTAAAGCAAAGGCAAAGCAGGAGAAAGCATATCACATGGTGAAAGCAGGAGCACAAGAGAGATAGGCAAGGTGCCACACACTTTCAAACCACCAGATCTCACTCACTATCATGAGGACCATACGAAAGGTGATGGTAATAATACATTCTTGAGAAATCTGCCCCCAGGATCCAATCACCTCCCACCAGGCCCCACCTCCAACATTTGGGGATTTCAATTCAACATGAAATTTGGGTGGGGACACAGATCCAAACTATAACAATAGACAAAGCAAAAACAAAAACAAACAAAAACAGAAAAACAAACGACAACAACAACAAAACAACTCTACTATAATTTGGGTCAATTGTAGAGTCTGTTCCCGAAGTAGCAGGAGTGTAGGGTCGGGGGAAATATGATTTTGTTAATTGCATTGACCATAGGACTGTCAAAACTTCAGTTAATGTCAACATGAATGCAGAATGGCTCTTTGGATGCAAGTAAAATGGCCTAGAAGAGTCACTCGGGAAGGTAATGCCTGGCACATCGTGACTTTCCTTTGGACTACCACTCCCACTCTGCTTTTCTTGACTACCTCAGCATGGCCTCTCCCCTGCCAGAATGTGCCAGGCCCTGCCTGGAAAGCCTTCAGTGGCTCCCCATTGTTTCAGAATAAAATCCAGACTATTTCCTCAGCTCTACTCAGCCTGATCTCCTTCCTCTGTCTACTCTTCACTCCACTGAACCTGCTGCATATTTTAGGTCCAATACCAAGGTTTGCCATTTCTTGAATCACACCTTTAACTTTCCCATTTCTGAGTGCTTTTATGTTTCTCAGTTCCAGAAAGTGCTTGTCCATCATCTACTACCACTGTTCCCAACCTATCCCTCCAGATGCTATTCCCACACCTTCTTAAACTTTGTGGTGGAACTCTGATTGGAATCATTCGTGTTCACATCTGTTTGCCCAGCAGGCCGAGTCCCAGATGCTACTTACTTAAAACAGTGGTTTTTATATCATCCACACCAATAAATGTGAAGGACTTCAGGAAACACCCACAGTGACATTTATGTTTCACATCACAGT